TATACAATGGGTGATGGTAAGATCAGGATAGTTAGCTTATTCATTATTGCAATATGTCATCCTTCTTTGTGTCCATTAACCAATTCCTCATTAACTCCCTTTTCTCCTTCCCCCCCTGCCCTCTCCTTTCCACCTCTAGTAACCACAGTTCTTTTCTCTCCTTCTAAAAGTTCAACATACTATTGTAATTGTTGTTTCTTTTTCTCTCTCTATCACTCTTTATTGTTTATTTGTTTATTTATGGATTTGGCTCCCACTTATGGGTGAGAACATGCAGTATTTCTCTTTCTGCGCCTGGGTTGTTTCACTTAGCATAATTTTCTGCAAGCTCATCCATGTGGCTGCAAATAGCAGAATTTCATTAATTTTTTTTACAGCTGAGTATTATTGCATTGTGTGTATTTACCATATTTTCCTTATCCAGTCATTCATTGACAGACATGTAGGTTGGTTCCATAGTCTAGCTATTGTAAATAGAGCTGCAATAAACATGAGGGTGCGGGTATCATGTTGACATGGTGATTTCCAGTCCTCTAGACATATACCTAGCAGTGGGATTGCTGGATCATATGGTAGTTCAATCTGTAGTTGTTTGAGGAACCTCCATACTGCTGTTCTCTACAACAGCTGTACTAATTTACAATCCCACCAACAGTTCAGAAGGTTCCCCTTTTTTCACATCCTTGTGAGTATTTGTTGTTCTCTTTTTTATAATAGCCAGTCTAACTGGGGTGAGGTGATATCTCAAAGTGGTTTTGATTTGCATTTCGCTGATGACTAGTGATGTTGAGCATTTTTTTCATGTACCTGTTGGCCATTTGTATGTTCTCCTTTGAGAAATGTCTATTCAGCTCCTGTGCCAATTTTTTATTGGATTATTTGTATTTTTACTGTAAAGTTGTTCTAGTTCCTTGTATATTCAGAATATTAATCCCTTGTTGGATGTGTAGTTTGTGAATATTTTTACCATTCTGTAGATTGTCTTTTCACTCTGTTGATTATTTCATTTGCTGTGCAGAAGCTTTTTAGTTTGATATAGTCCCATTTGTTTATTTTTTCTTTTGTTGTCTGTGCTTTTGGGGTCTTATTCATAAAGCATTTGCCCAGCTCTATATCCTGGAGTGTTTCCCCTATGTTTTCTTCTAGGAGTTTTAAAGTTTCATGTCTTATATTTAAGTATTTAATCTATTTTGAGTTGACTTTTGTGTATGGCAAGAGGTGTGGATCAAGTTTCATTCTTCCACATATGGATATCCAGTTTTCCCAGCAGCATTTATTGAAGAAGCTCTCCTTTCCCCACTGTATGTTCTTGCTGCCCTTGTTGAAGATCAGTTGGTTGTAAACAGGTGGGTTGATTTCTGAGTTTTCTATTCTGTTCTATTGGTCTGTGTGTCTGTCTTTATGCCAGTACCATGCTCTTTTGGTTACTATAGCTTTGTCATATAGTTTGAAAAAGTCTGAATATAGTTTGAATATATTGTAGTATAGTTTGAAAAGTTGAACTTTTTTGTTTTTTGATATTAGCTAATATTTATTATGTGACAGATTTAATATTTTATTTTTGTTTAATTACTTAATTTTTAATTGGCACATAATAATTGTACATATTTATGAGGTACAGTGTGACATGTCAATACATGTACACAATGTACAATAGTCAAATTAGGGTAATTGGCATATCCATCATCTCAATATTTATCATTTCTTAGTGATGAAAACATTCAAAATTCTCTCTTCTTGGTATTTTGAAATATACAGTATATTATTGTTAAAAATACTACCAAATCATTTTAAAACAGCAGGAGCAGAAACATACTTTGTAACAATATTAACATAACACTGTAAGTTCTAATTTTTTGTAGATCCTGAATTTTACCATTTGATTCTAAAGCAAGTCTTGCCATGTAAAAATAACTAAGCTGATTTTTTAAAAAATATTTTTCCCTTAATAGCATAGAAAATCATGTACTTGACTTTATCAAGTATTCTAAGTATTAATAGTTCTCAAGGCTTATGATTAAACTAGTTAATTTTGCAGTTGCCGATAGTTCTGAGAGAATATCTGAAGTCATAGTTGGCTTACTTTTCAGAAAAAATCATGTTAAAATTACTAAACATTTTTTCTTGGCAATGAAAAGTCAATAAGCAGTTACATCATATAATTTTACTTTATCCAGAATGATTTACATTGTTTCTAAATGACAGCATTAATCTAAATCATTTTGAATCACTAATTCCAGAGAATCTGGCTGGTCATGCTAATACCTTTTCATTGTAAATGACCCAACTGAGAAGTTGAGCATGAGACTTGTTTTTCTAAAGCTGTTCTACATTTCTGCTTTTCAATTCTGTTTTCAATAATCATGATTTATACTGAGCTACCTCAATTTCAGAATAAAATGTCTTTTTGATTTTCTTATTATGCCATATGCTGCAAAATGTTTAGTTCCAAAGAGGTTTTATTGAAATGGGAGCTTTGTTAATCACAAATGATATACTTACTCTTTTGGAAACAATGGAAAACAGGTCCAGGCCAGTAAATTTGCATTGTTGGTTGCACAGACAATCCCAAACAATTTTATAGTAAGCATGGATTCCCTTGGAAGTGACTTTATTTCAAGAGGAAAATTGATCCTGAAAATAAAAGATATAATTAGCATTATACACTCAATTACAATTATGTTTTTGTAATGTAATGGTCTGGGACAAAATTATTTAACTATTCGCATTGAGGTATCATCTTGAAATTTTTTGTTTAATCTTGTAAAAATGGAAATACAATAGAAATACATAGAGTAATGAGACATGTTACTCGATCTATGGGAATTACTTCTTATAATTTTGACATGTGATTTATTTTTAAATATTACAATAACTTGAGAATTTACTCTCAAGTTACAATAAGTGTAGAGGAGAGAATGACTAATGTTGTCTTAGGGAGTTCAAGAAGGCAGAAAATAACTCAAAACCGTCTTAAGGAATAGGTTAGTTGCAGTGCGATAAAGATTTAAAAGAGAATATTCCAGAAAGAGAAAAGTGCATGGACAAGAGTGTACGTGCATGAAAAGATTAGGCGTGTCTGAGAAATGGTGATGGTAGAACAAAAGATGAGGTCAAGTTGATAGGGGAAGTCGTGGAGGATGAAATTAGAAAATAGGTGGTTTCCAGAATGCTTTACGAATTTAAATTTTCTCAAAGGCTAAAGGAAATATTTGAAAGAGAGAGCTAAAAGTATAGAGTTGCTTACAATTTTAAATTTGGCCTGTTCTCGGTAATGATGAGGTCCCAGGAATTTGGGGAGTGATCACTGAAATGTAATGTACACACATTTTCTTGAATATGTTAAGGTCAAGGAGCTGTGAGCTCAAATCCTGGATAGATTGCACATACTGGAAAAAATAAATAAATAAGAAAGTGGCTAAGGAAAACATAGGATTGCTCATGGTGAGAAAAATTTTAATTTGGATGTTGAAGCTATCAATAGAAGTTTAAATGATACTATAAGACCGGGAGGGGTATATGTGGGTAGTCTGAGTGTCTAAGACAAAGGGGGTTTTGAAAGAAAGTTGAAATTGTGATCTGAGGTCCCTAATAATGGGCAGGAAGATGAGTGCCTTCCTTTCCTTTCTGGTATCATCTAGGTTATTTAGAAATGATGAGGTTCTATTATAGAAGCCTCAATTGAAGCATAGAGTTTAGGGAAGAAATATTTATGAGACAAGAAAATGGGAGAAATATTTTTCCAGAGGCTGAGATGGGGAATATGTTTACTAAAAGGTAAGAATGCTAGTGAGAAATGGGAAAATTGGAACAAAAGTTGGCAGACAGGGAAAAAATCATGGCAACTGAATCATCAGGGAATGGGAACAAGAAAGAGGAAAGTGACTGGAGGAGACACTGAGAAGCTTGTATTGAATGATACCGCATGGTGTTAGGGGGGAGGAGCGTGAACAGAATCTACTGTCAATTTCCAGCGGAACTTCAATGTCAAGTTGTTTAAGCAGTAGGTGATTATTAGAGGACTGATGAAGACCAAACCCTTTGTCCATCTGGAAGATGCTGACTGAGCTTTGCCCAGCTGAGGCTGTGGATAATACTGAGTGTCTTCTCCCACTAGGAGTTGACTTTCTCATCTTGATATTAGGGAACAGTCCTTATTCATGATTTAAAATACAACACTGATGACCCCTTTTTCAGTGCCTGTGCAGTATTCAGCCTCAGGGATAAAGGGAAGTTGAATTATCCCAGTGACCAAAACTGATTTTGAGGATGTACACATCTCTCTCCTCAATGTGCTGTTTCCTGAGATGAACGGGTCCAGATCCAGGGTAGTGCTAGAGCAGCCAACGGAAGTTGAATTATCCCAGTGACCAAAACTGATTTTGAGGATGTACACATCTCTCTCCTCAACGTGCTGTTTCCTGAGATGAACGGGTCCAGATCCAGGGTAGTGCTAGAGCAGCCAATAGGAGGGATGGCAGAGCTATTTTGGGGGTAAAATGGGTAACTGACGCTTCACTGACAGCACAGCAGGGGTATAGCACAATGAAGAATTGAAGATTAATTCTAGTTTCTACATAATGATATAGCTGATACCCTTAACTGATAGGGAAGGTAGAAGAAAGAACAAGTTGGGGTGGGAGAAATGTGTGAAGTTTATGGCATAATGCCATGCAGTTAATAATAATTGTAGCACATTGATATATAAGTTATGTGTGGAAACGATGCTACAAATTTTGGAACTGGACATAGCTACATTTACAAACTCACCCTATTGACTAGTAAGATGCTCCTCCTTGAGCAATGCATTTAACCTTTTTATGTCTTGTGTTTCTTTATCCATAAAATGGAACTACTATTACATAACAAAATATGTGGCAACTGTTAGGTTGTGTACCAGCAGTATATTCATTTATTCACTGAGTAACGTCATAATTTATATTAGCGATTGTGTACTTAAGACTCAGATTTATAAAAAAACACGTTTCTTTATAGGCACATAAAATGTAATTCTAACTAAAAGTAAGGGAGGGAAATAAAGGAAAGACTGGAGTGGGAAAAATATTCTATTTTTAAAGATTTGAAAAATTCAGATTATAAAATATGAAATTGCTACACATTTAGGTATGTAAAAATAAGTCTTTTCTTCTTTTTCTTTCATATTCTGTCATACACATAATATTCTCTCAAGATACTGTGGACATATTTCTCAGTTTAAAAGAAGCTCTGAAATGTGACATAAAATGTTGGTGATCCTGTGAGATGCATAGTAATATCTTCAATGTTCTTTCTTTTTCTTGTAATTGACTTTCTATTCAGTTTTCATATTACTATGCTAGGATGGAAGCTGTGATTTCACTTCATTCCTCACATAATCTAGAATGTTCTTTTTTTCTTATTAGGTCTGGCTTCTTCATGTGTAACTCCACTTGTTAGTGAGCTTTTTGCATCAAGAATGACAAAAATTAGATCAGTTACAGTGGATAATTATTGCCAATCTCCATTCTGTTACTTTTATTAATAAAAATAAGTTTTCTAGGGTAAGAATACATGCTATCTAAATAATTATTTATTCATTTTTTGAATACGTGAATGCATATGAGTATTTAAAGCCAAATAATAACATATTCAATGGAAAATCTTTTTTTTTAACTTCTGTATGGATACTTAAAAATCAAGGAATCAACTTTCAGACAAAAAAAGGAAGAAAAATACTTTGAGACATTCAATAAATGGGTTCAGATTACTGCTTTTCATACAAGGAACAGACACAGACCTCAAGTTTTAACCCTATGTTTGCCTTCTTATACTATTTAAAAATTAGTAATAACTAATTTTTCTTATAGTTTTTTTCTTCAATATTAGATGGTTTTCCTAAAATCAGAGTAAGTTTTTGAGAGTGAAATGGGAGATTTCAAAAGCTACCTTGTTTAGAACTCTCCTATTAATATTGATATAAAATAAAAGCACTAGACTAATAACTAGACCATTGTAAGGACTTCGACTTTTGTCTGAATGAAACAGGGAGCAATTTCAGGATTTTTAAACATCAGGAGAATGACATAGCCTGACTAATATTTTAAAAAGATCATGTTAGCTGTGGTGTGAGAAGGACCATAAATAATGCAAGAGAAGTA